GCCACGGCAAACCTTGGCAAGTTTGCAGATATCAATTCCAAAAACGCTGAGAAGGTTTAACAAAGAATTGTACTTGTTTTCTTCTAAATAAGCAAGTGCTTAAGATTAGGCTAGATGAAGAAAAGGTCAAAAAAGAGATGGAGTATTTACTAAAATGCATAGTGATAGCCTACTTTGTGAGCAGTACATTATCAACAAAAGCAACACTTTATTAGTTAGGTTATTAAAAAAACAAAGATTTACAATTAGGCTAAGATTTAGATCATAGATTCTTTCAAGTAGTAAGGACAAGGTTGCATTATAAAAATTATTGATGCAAATCTTACACATCTTTTAATGGAGGATATATATCTTTCAACCTTTGATGTCAAGATTCAATCCTAATCAACTAGTTGGAATGAAAATGCTGACATAAATAACTTTGAAGGTTGTTTTGGATGAATTTATGAGCAATTCAAAGGACATTGCTTAAAGTCTTGAGGTTGTTCTAGGAAGAGATTATAGCAACAAAAATGAAGCCAATCAAAAGTTTTGCAATGGACTAACAACTAAAATTCCTTACAACATTATAATTAGAGTGATTAATTTTATAAATGGCAACACAACATATATAAGTACATTACAATAATCTCCCTATATATAAAGTAGATAGACCTCAAAGAAGAGTCTTCACACCCACAATATCCTAACAAAGCTCATAGATGCTTTGAACGACATATAGATAGGCAAGTCATCAAACTCAAATAATAATATTTTTTAATTCTATTGCATATTTTAGAATGTGATTAGAAAAGATTTTTTACTCATATTACAAGATAGCAGAAGCTGTAATCATTTATCTCTTGGTGTAATACAACAAATGATAGCACTATTACATAATGAAAGAAATTGTTGTAAACTCACCAATTAGGAGCTGATTATCTTCTTCAATATTGGATACAAAATCTATGCTAAAGCACTATAACTACCCCTTTAGCACATATTCATGAACATCACAAGTATGAGCTAGTCAATCTTCTTATTCATACAATTTATATTGGATAATCTCTTACTAATTCCCAAGACTATGATATAGGCAAAGAAGACAAACTAACCTCTCTTCTTCCTCAAACTCGACTTCTTAAGTGCCTACATGGTAAATTGAAGATTTATGTTTAAGACAATGTTAGCAATGGACTTTCTTATCAAATTTATACATATGATTTGCCTATTATTCATTGATGTGGATTCTTATGTAAATATGAACGAGCTATTCTTTGCATCCTATAAAATTGAGAGAAGGATATGCCAAGGTTGCCCTTTTGTACTTTACTCCTTCATCATCATTGCCAAAACATTCAATGTCATAATCACAAATGAAACAAAACTCAACTCCATCTATGATATTAAATTATCAATAGTCAATCAACAATAGATGATGGCATAGTATGTAGATGACACCTTCTATACTATATTATGCAAGGAAAGAAGAGTCTAAAATACTATATACATATTTAAGATATTCTGCTTAGGATTAGGACTTATCTTCAGCTCAAATAAATCAAACGGCCATTGAAAAAGTTATGACAATCTAATTTATTTTCCATAAATAAATGAGCTTGGAATCTCATAAGCTGATGAAGGCAAGGTGAGTAAACTTTCAAGCATACCATTTGGTCTCTTTCTAACCTCAACTAATATTGATAACTTCTTTCACAAAAAAATTAACAAAAAAAAAAAATCACTAGTATATAACAATAGTTAATATTATGAGTTGAGGTATGATTGTGAATAGTATTCTCTTCTCTATAATATTCTTTTTCATATTAATATGAAGAGGAACAAAAAAAAAAAATAATAAAGATCAAAGTTTTCTTTAGAAACTACCTTGCAAGCAGAATCATACAATACACCTAAACCAAGGTTGGATGATTACAGTGTTGCCAATCTATCATTAAAGAAGGGATCAATTTAATCAACCTAGCCAATGATGTAGTAGCATTAATTGTGAAGTGGCTAATAAAAGCTCTTAGGTCAAGTAATTCCAACCTTTACATAATATTCTAACATCAACTTGGTTTTTTTCAACTATATTACAAGCGATGGTGGTAATCAAGTCTAGAAGTTTTTTATTCTTATGCAATATCAAAGCCAAAAAGAATCCATTGTATAGAACATAGTTGTGGCTGCGTGGAAGATAATTTTTTTAGATTTCACATATATTCCTCTGCATGTCATAATAAATGGCTCAATTGTAGCATATAGCATTGCCCCATTATGTCAAATATTAGAGTTGGATTCTCAAAAGTGAGAGCAACTTTCATACACAAGAATAGATTACAAGTATGTATGAGTATATGGAAGTATAATCAATTTTTAGATTTTTTAGAAGTAATTATATAATTTAGATTAATTTAATAAAGAATGGTATTTAAAAAGTGTTAAACACAATACTTATTTAATAATAGAAATATAACATATCAGGTCTAGATTCTTAAAAAAAAAATTAGAAGTAGGTGGAATTATTTCTTAGAGATGATGTTATAGAGTCTAAAATAGAATGACAAATAACAATAACATTCCAAGTAGACATTGGCTTAGCCTAAGTTTGGATATTAATATAGCTTAAAACCTATATTGTGCTTGGTGCCTCATATAGCGTAATTAAACTCACACATGATTAGTGATTATATTGAAGTTGATGAAATGTGAAAAAAAATGCAATACCATGATTTATGCCTTGAAAGAAAATACACGAGGATTAAAATTATTAAATGAGGCTGAAGAAGTCATGTCCATCACATATATTACAAAAATTTAGATCAGCTAGTATGGAACCTTGATAGATTTCAATTGCTTGGTTAAGTCCTATTTATGGAATATACATCACAATTGGATTGCTTCTTATTGCAAAAATGGCACAATACTCTAAACATTGAGATTAAAAAGTAGAAAGGAATTTTATCTCTCAAATTACATATTATAATAAGCTAACATTCAAGATAAGAAACAAATGCATACTAAAGTTAATCTTTTTTGGTTAACATGGCATTGAGCCATTACAATGAATGCATGGAGAGCAAGAATGAGTAGAAATATTAATCAATGTTGCCGAATTGGTAGCCAAGAAATAATATTACATTGTTTCTAGGAATGCTTGTCAGCAAGAAAAGCATGGAAATAAAGTGATTCACATCTTTTAGCTCTTTTCACAAAGTGTAGAATAGATGCCTATATTGATAAAGTTGGCTTATAGTTGTATTATTAATTCTCTAAGTACAAGGAGGCATTTGAGGCATCTGGACAACCTTAGGGATACTTTGAGTGGACAAATAGATCCTACATAATTCTCTTCTTCATCAAAACATAATAAATTTGTACACCATATACCACGTAGATTCAAAACAGTCAGCAAATTATTGCTTCGTATAAAAAATGTCATATTATAGATATTATGAATAGAAAGGAATGACACTTCATTTAATGGAGTACATTGATCATATGAAAAGTTGTATCACAAGATATGGCTCAATCTCATTGACTATAGGAGAAATGTATGGATTAATATTCAAAAATAAAATACACCAAATATAACAAAGGCGACAAGACATGTGGAGCAATTTCAACAACAATAGTGCGCAAATGGGGTAATGACAACATGGATAATAGACAAATTATCATGGAAATTAGTTAGACCTAGAGGTAGTTTTGTTATTAATATTCAGATTGTAATATACCATCCCAGCCAAACCTGGTGCCTATTTATTTAAACCTTTTTACTGCTATAGAGAACAATCTCGATTTGTGTAAAAAAAAAAAAAAAAACAAACAAACAAACAAACAAACAAACAAACAAACAAAAACAAGTGATTGATGACTAGTTACTCAAAAAAAGTCTCAATAGAAATTTCTGTGCGAGACATAAAATATTAATACCTGATGGAAGAAATTCCGCGGGGCAATGAGCAAAACCTCGGAGCTATTGACAGGATAGCAAACCACCCTTGACCAACCCTGCAGGCCAGATCCACTTGTGCGTTCTCTCGCGGAATGGTTAGTCCTATTCCTGCTCAGTTGTCCTCGCCATTCCACAAGTGAATTAGAATGACAGTAACATGTGAGACCTACAAGCACAACTTCGTCATCACCAGCAGCTATGCTCGCTTGTCTGGTAAAAAGAAACAAACTAGGGGAATGCGATTTGATTACGCAAATTGCTAGAAGTTGTCATATTCCGTTGACGCATTAAGAACTTGGACCCAGCTGCAGCTCTTCGTACATTCTCTACAATTGCGAGACCAGGTCATGTTGGATTGCCTGCACTATGGAACAAGCCAGCTTGATCATTTTCTGGAAGTTCAGGCCCCCTACATCTTAATGTGTTAATCTTTCAGAGAGCAGAGCTTGGCACGACCAGTATTCCAGGGCGGATTGCTTAACAATTACTGGTGTTTGTGCATTGCAAGATTTTGAAGAGCTGAGATAGTAAAGCAGCTTGGTAAACTTCTGTTGACTGCCTTGGAAAGAGGTTCACACGGTTGCTTCTGTCATGTGCTTTGCACAGCTCCACACCCAGCCCTTATCACCACTGTTTTGACAGCACCGCCTTCAAACATGCATTCTGAATCTACTCATGCTGGGTGTTTACCAGCATGTTCCATGCGACGATTGGTGTATGATAACAAACAAATCAGAGAAAGACATGCCTAAAATGGGATGGATGGATCTTCGAAAATAGACATAGGGCTAGCCCACTTTATGTGCTATAACATAGAGATGATCTCGTTGTATACCAGCCTCTCACAACAGTTTGATACAGATTTTGTCTACGCTTACAATCCACCGCTTCTAGGATCAAACGGGAACATATATTTACTGTTCTGTTCTCGAAACATTGCAGAAAATTCAAGAAAAAATCCAGGAAATATATGGTAAAAGGGAGGAATACATTACTGCACAAAAGGACCACTAAATTTCCTTAGAAGGATGTCAGAAACACGACCCACTCTAAAGCTGACAGATTAAGAACCGAACAAACCAATCAGCACATGTCAAACATTTTCATTGACAATTTCTCTGACATGCATGTGCCCTAGCATACAAATCTGATTAGGTGACATAAACCACACTATCCCTCGATATCAGGTTCAGTTCACGGTCAACTTCAACTCTAAACACGGACTCCCAAAACAGTTAATTGCTACGTGAACTTCTGATCAAGCCACAAGATCACTACAACGGCAGGCTAACAGCTTCTCGAAAGACTACTCACAGCACCGTTGGCACATAGCTGAGGAAGTTCAGTGTTGTCTACCAGGGATAAATTTTCTAGTTTCAAAGTTGCCAATGTAAAACCTCATTGCGTCAAAGAGAATGATTCACACAATTATGGAAGCCCTAACAATGACTCTAATAAAAAGATGACTACAAATAGTTTTAAGCCCCACAGCAGCCCTTCTTCTTCAGGTCTGGGGCATTGCTGTCAAGTGGAACAATGTTCGTTCCCTGTCCAGGGCCTTCAGTGGTGTTCTCTTCTGAAGCCAAAGCTTTCTTGCTAACAATGCGGTAAATTTCTGTCAAAATCCTCTGGAATGCTTTCTCGACGTTTGTAGACTCCAAAGCTGAAGTCTCTATAAAGGAAAGCCCTTCTTTCTCAGAAAACGATTGAGCGTCATCAGTTGAAACCCCTCTTAAATGTTTGAGATCGGATTTGTTTCCCACCAACATGATCACGATGTTGGAGTCGGCATGATCTCTCAGCTCCTTCAACCATCTTTCCACATTCTCATAAGTTACATGCTTTGTGATGTCGTACACCAGCAGAGCTCCCACAGCGCCACGGTAGTATGCACTAGTGATAGCTCGGTATCTCTCCTGACCTGCCGTATCCCAGATTTGAGCTTTGATGGTCTTTCCGTCGACCTAATAAAATAAAGAAGGACACTAAAAGTTAGAACTTCCAGACAACAAATTCTTAGCTACGCGTCATCTAAGACATCACTAGATGACCAAAATCTGTCAACTATAATAGGAGGTGAGAAGAATTTAAAAATAAAGCGAATCATGATTTGTAAAATGAGGATACACCTTCCAATATACTTATACAACACACATACGCAAGAAACAAAATATTAAAAATTATACATACGAACGCACAAAAACAAAATGCATATCAGGAGAAGCTATTCTTTCGGGACCCAACACAAATAGAGATCGGGTACGATCCACATGTGGCATCCAAAATCTCAGAAATTACCGATCACCCCAAGAAAATCCTCCAAGACATTAGTTATGGCTCATAGAAAATGTGACTATCTTAACGAATGAGCTGCATTACACAGCGTTTGGCATCTACGTTACATGACAGATTCTTTCTCCGGGGGCTTCTACTCCAAATTACACACAATATCCTCTCCTAATGCATCATCAACACCCTCTACAGAAAGAGTCACAGCGATAATTAACTCAGGAAAGGGTACATTTACTACAGCAGACGGATGATACCTGAATGGAGCGAGTGGCGAACTCCACGCCAATGGTCGACTTGGACTCCAGACAGAACTCGTTACGAGTAAATCTGGAAAGCAGATTGGACTTTCCAACACCGGAATCTCCTATCAACACCACCTTGAAAAGATAGTCATACTCGTCATCCGCTTTATGCGCCATCTCCCAACCTCGTCTATGCCCCTCTTCTTGCTTGCAGAGGACGCTTTCTTGGCAAACGAGAATCTATAACAGCATTCCACCAAAAACCAAGCATCCTCACAAAACGGAACCACGGAACCCTCAAAAACTGAACACGACGAATACCACACAGATCTTTGCAAAGTGATAGACACAACTCCTACATACAGCTCTCAAACTTCCCAAAAACTGCATCACATATATCCGCTTCACGCCCAACACCTAAACTCCACACCATCACCATCACGATCTCTCTCACACACACACACAACTCACCTAATAAGAATGTGCAACGAAGGAAGGGGAGGTGCGATAAGCAAGAAAGTCCAGATTGGAAAAATCGACCGTCACACAGCAGCAAACTACACCGCTCAACCCTAGCACCGCATTACTGGTGCTGCACAGCTACGAAAAAGAACAGCGGAAGGAGGAGAATCAACTCAGCCAAAGTGTGTGTTGGGCTGCTAGGCTCCGTCACTGACGAGATCGCCAAGTTTGCTGACACGCAGTTCACGGATCTGCGCGGTGAAGCCTCGGAGCGAAGCGGAAACGTGGTTCTGTAACAATGAACAGAACAGGGACTTGTGAGAAGTGGGATCCAGGGACGAGGGAGGACAGTTCCGGTTCGAGTTCTTCTTCTTCTCCTTCCCCGTGAATTACTTGTAACTTACGCTTGTGGTCAACAAGGCCATTCATTCTACTCGTAGCCTTGTCCTCACCCCCTCCCTGGAATCGGTCCAAGGTAAAAATAAAACCCAGTTCAGCAAAGCGGAACGAGTTCCTGGCTGACCCTGACGGGAGCATGGGCCACCAGGGACCACCCACTGGCCCGTGAAGGACCGGTTCTGGTGGATTGCTCAATCCATTTTAAACTTTGTTGAGAATCTTCATCATCCATCGCTGCTGCAAAAATGACTTGCTCAATGGAGATGGAATTTGAATGAGCCCTTGTGCTTTGTTTACAGTGGGCCCCATGTTCTCCTTTGCTCGAATCTACCAGAATGATAACTTTCTCTGGACTGTGCCAAAGCAAATGTGTGTGTGCAGTAATCCTGCAATGTTGGGTGTCTTAGTTCATTATTACGCAAAATGGGCATAGACAACTCAGTCACTCCTACATCGAGGCAACACGATATTCCACGAGAGTTCCAGCTACATAAAAGCTCTCGTCACCATAACTCATCCATCAACTCCCCGTTCTTTTCTAACCCCCTCCTGTCTGAATGCCAGCACGCAATCACTTCTCACAAACAACTCTTCAGCGACCGACCACCAAAGTTAATCACTACGCGCTGGATCAGCAGAGACCGATAAATTCCCCATCAGGTTAATGCCACATCAACCAAGCATGTTTCAGCATACGCACCCTAAAAAAGTGCAATTGTTGCCGAACCCAGTTCACGAATCTCACGCTTCATGTCACCTGAACTCACTTCACTGCATTGGGAAAATGGCCGGGGGCTTGATGGCCTGCAGGAGCTGATCCCAACCTTCTTGTCCTCTTAAAAGTGTGTTGACGATCACACATTTGTGCGCATTCTCTCAAAATTGAGCAAATCCAGTATGTGATTGCGAGCGTGTGTTAGTTCCGATGATTTCTGGTAGTGTGCTGCATCGATTCCGCCGCATCTTCGAGGCAAAATCGATGATTGGGGGGCTAGGTTGCTGCGGGATTCGATGTCTACACTTTCCTCATTCATTCAACTCCGACAATGCGCCGTTGCGAATTGAATCCCGAGATTTTCGTGCAGTGATGTGCGGAGAGCCCTCGCGTGTCGGTGAGGGCGCCGCGAAAGCTCCGCCCACCGCTTCATCCGCGTCCCCCCCCCCCCCTTGAAACCATAAAATAGCAGCTTTTGATGTTGTTTAGTTGCTTGATTACTGACTGCCGACGGATTTTGTTTGTTTCTTTTTCTATTGGTATTAATTCCTGCAAAATCGACCATGAATATTCTAAAAAATTCGAGCTTGAAGAATACCTTTCTGCTTTTTTGAGGTACCGATAAAGATGTCAAACAACTTTAAATGTGATACCTTTTTATTGTGTAGAATAACCAAGTTTTAAAAGATTTGAAGTGGATTGAAATTTTTTTATTTTATTTTTATTTTTTAGAATTTCATTGAAGCAATCAAAGTAGACATCGAAACAACCATTCGTGCGAGTGTATTGTGGTGTTATTATATGTCAATCACAAAGATACTGATTGTTTAATGTTATTTTAATACAAGTATTAAAACAAAATCTTAATGAAATCCAGTAAATGTAGCTATCTAATTTCAATTTTTTTATTTAAAAAAAAAGGTGCTATTTTTAGTTTTCTTAAAATAGTAGACTAGAGAGGCTCTTCTATCAATAATAAAACGAATTTTAGAATGCAGTAAAAGAAACTAATCCTTTCATAGTAGTTTTGGGATAAATCTTCAAATTTAAATTTCAGCACAGTAACATAATTAGAAGTCATGTAATTTGTATTTTCAAAAAAATAAAAAATTTAAACTAACATTTTTAATTAGGCAATTTGTATGAGTGACATTTAGTACCTTTTATATCAACAAATTATTAGGTATATACAACAAAAATTCAATATATATATATATATATATATATATATATTACATTATATCAAATAAATTTTCTATGTACATATTTGAATAGATTATATAGAATTAGAAATAAAATGTTCACTTGTATCTAAGATTATATGATAGTATTACCACACTAAAAGTATAATGGTTTTTGATAGATTTTTTGGCATAAAATATATAATAGTAATTTATTTTTTTATTTTTTTTAATTTCAATATTATTTGAAATTCCATTGATAGTTGAAATTTTTTAATGGTCTAAACAAACTATCATTGAGATTATCTATAAAGACACAAAATATATCTATGAACTAAAATATATATCCATCTTTAAATACCTATGATTTTTTTGTTGTCATATCTAGGAGCATATAATATGAAAAGAAATGCCATGATATATTGTTAGAATTATTATAACACTTTCAATTAAAACAATCCATTAAGCTTAGAGGCTGATAAGATTTAGAGTCAAAGTTAGATTACTAAAGTAATCTTATTGCATTTCTTAAACCATAAGACTCAAGATATTGCATTCCATTTTTGAATCATGTTGCAAATTTATTTATTTATTTATTTATTTATTTATTTTTATTATAAACCTTTAAATTTTTATCAATAATTATCAAAAATATTTATAATTTTTACCTAATATAATCACTTGTATTATTTTATTAATACGGTTTAATTGAAATATTTTAAAAATACATGTTATTTTTTTATTAATATAATAAAACTTTCAAAAAAAATCATTTCAAATTTTGAAAAGAAATATATATATATATATATATATATCAAATAGCATAGAAATTTGTATGTTATAAATACAACTATTGTTTATATTTTATATATATTAAATTAATTTCTAATATATTTAATATGATATAGTTGTATATGAAATAGAAATTCAACATGTACAAGCATCTTAATCAAATTGTTATTTGACAATACACATAAGCAATTATAATGTGGAGAAACTGCTAAAAATAATATAAATATAATAAAACTTATTATCAAATGTATTAAATTTCATACTTTGTCAAAAGATTTTGTCTTTTAAAAATTGATTTCTATTTTCTGGTTTGGTAATTTTCTGAAATTTGCATTGACTGTTAAACAAGAAATCTTTAAAACATATTTTATTATTTTATTGATACTAGTAGAATACTTGCAATTCATCTTATCTAAATTTAATATTACATTGAATAGAAGGTCTAATCATCACTAGTAGAATTATTTTAGCATCATATTATACTAAATTGATATTCTTAAATTTACTACATTATATTATATATTAAATTCTTATTTGTGATTTTCGGTAATAACTTAGATGTGACAACTTTAGTTGAATTAGTAGAATTTCTTAATTTTTCTAGCAAATATATTTATATTATATATAATAACGACTTTGATGTAATTTTTTTTTGTTAAGTATTGTTGATCTTAACATGATTGAAATAAGAATCCTATTATAAAACATAGTCACTTATTGCATTACGTAATGTATATATTCTAACTTAGCATTAAAGCAATGCAGAACTTTTGTTGTTGAACTTGGAAAATTTAATTGATAACTAAAAAATTCTGTATTATCTAAATATAATTAAATTTTATATCATTTCTAAAATTTCCTTTAGATAAGTACACAACCTCATTGCATTAATTTTCATATTGTATAAAATTTAGTTTATACTATATATGGAAAAATATTATTTTATATTTTATATTAGATGGAAAAATAAGCCACTATTAATGTCTTGATGATTTAGAGTAATGGTTTTATAAACACTATGTCTAAAAAGAAATTGAAGTTAATTTGAATTTCCTTTAACCTCAAGAAAATACTTTAATATTTTTGGATGGTACAAAGTATCTAACATCAATATAGAACATGAAAAAATTACTTTAGAAATATCAATAAAGATATCATTTTAAAATAAATAACACTTTCAATATTTTGTTATCATTAATTTTATGGTATTCATACTAAATTAAATCTAACAACCATTTTTTTTAGATCTATAAAATAAATAATAACTTCAATTAAATAAAATAAGACATTTACTTAATTGAAGATATTCATATTTTTTTATTATTATCTATTAAATAAAAATGTATATATTAATAAATAAACTTAAAATAATCAAATATTTTTAAAAATAAAATTTTGATATTGGATACTTTATCTTTACAATTAATTAATAAGAAACATCAAACAATGATTGCTTATATAATAATATTATAGACATATACATTTACATCAATAGTTACTTAAATGATTAGATAGAAGTAGGTAAATATAGATTAATTTCATAAAATCTTCTAAAATAGCTTCCTAAAAGCTTCATAGATGTGGTTTTGACTTTAAATGTATTTGTAGGTTAGAAACTTGGTCAACAAGTTAATCACATGTTGGTAGCTTGTAGAATAAGTTAATTCCGTGTAGTAGCTTGTGGAACAAATTAACTTTGTGGCGCATACATAGATAACTTGCCTTACAAGTTAAGACATGTGGCTAGCAAAGTCAACACATGTTGGAGGTCCTATAAAATATTGCCATGTAGCTCTTAGTTAGAGAATACATATGGAGGTAAGAGTGAAGCCTTCTTCATTCTTGTCAACACCTTTCTAGTCCTTAGTCTTATTTTAAGATTTTCTAGTCTTCTTGTTTTTGGCAATAGCTATTCTAGTTTAATATTACATCACCTTTTGAGTGACTTTCTAGTTCTCTTCAATGACACAAGAGTGTATTGAGGATTTTTCTTCTTTGAGATTCATGTCCTTGACATTTGACAAGAATACTAACATAATGTTTTTGTCTTGTTTTAGAAACGAATGGATTACCTTACTTCTATTTTTGTATTTTGAAGGTTGTTGACTACCTACCTTCAAACAAAAAAACTTATTTTCTAATACTGATCTTTTTCTTAAAGAGAGTGGATTATCCTTCTTTGTGAAATTTTTTATTAGAGGTTGCAGATTACTCTCCTCTAATTTAACTTTTTGGATTTCTTTGAGTTGTCTATAGAAGGAAAAATTATGGATGCTACTCTTGGCAAAAGTGAGAATAGATTTGCAACTATTGCAGGTCTTCATAAGCTTGTCAACATTCATAG